TCCAGTCATGGGTGTTTATATATATAATATGTATCTATGTATTAAAAGTTATATATATGTAGTGTATCAACTATCTGTTATCCATAACATAGGCCTTAGCTTACCTTAGAACTAGATGGTGTTGTGTTGGTGTCCCAATATATTTATTTATTATTTAGTGTTATACAGGTGTATTGGCCTAAAAAGTTTTTTTCAGGATAATAATCTTTGTTTTGTATCATAAGTGCACAAATTTTAATCTAAATCGGTTTATATGTGATGAAAGAAGACCTAATAAAACTACTTAAATTAACAATAGATTCATAGTTTAAAACGATTAAAAACATTTACAGAATACGTAAGCGTATTAAAAAATGCATAATATATTCAAATATGTATTTGAAAGCTCTTTAAAGGAAAAGCAATAAATTAAGAAGGCCTATCTTGTGACCGATATCCGAGCTTACGTCGACTTGATAACGAGCTTTTTTTAACATAGCTTACAAGGAAAATGGTAAGTGCAATAAAATATTTAACTTTATGGTCCATATAAAAGAAAAGTAGCAATAAATTTTAATTTTTAGCTTCACTTATCTTTAACTTTCAACAGGAAAATATTTAAGATGCTTCTACTTTGACTCTTGGTTACAAAAGAAAATTGAACTTTCAATCAATAAAGTCATTTTAGTATTTACATTGTAGATGCAAAAACTTTTTAGCCCTCTGGTTAGTCATTTGTTTACACAGCCAAAGCAGAAGCAACATAGCAATGGATTTTTTGCAAAGAGGTAGCTTATAGATCGAACTGTGGGTATTATTTTACGCGTTACTTTTTTTGTGATGGTGGTGTTTCGGGATAATGCAAATAACTTAATGGACTTGCACATATATTATATAATTTTCCAATATCCCTTTAACCCAAAAGTTTATATAAACATACTTTCATGTAAACATAGGATACGTACAATTTTTATCTTTAGCAGGATTTGAACTTAATATGACCTTAAGCATCAAATATAAATAAGCATTCAAACGTAATATTTTATAAAATGCATGCATTAGAGAGGTAAAGTTTGCATATTAAATAAAAGCAGGTAGCGAGAGATGTTTCTGCATCATGGCGTTTGGCACTTCGCCCACGACATGACGTTTTTCTTTAAAATATATGAAAGTTTGTATGTGTTTCTATGGTTTTTAGTCTTTCTCACTGAAACGGCTGGATCGATTTAAATATAATACAGTTCATAGGTCGATTATCACCTGAAATAACATATTGTCGGCTCAGTACGTTTTTGTCCAAACGCTCAATTTACCCAAAGAGCTTTTGTATTTTTTATATAGAATTATTGACTTCTAAGTGTCAATTCTTTGGGTATTTTTGAAGTAATATGTTACTTTAAAAAAATGTATGTTATCTATGTACATATTATGTACGTATGTATATATATTATATACATCTTAGAAAAGAAGATTTGTTTTTAAAATAGAGGAAAAACTCTACTGTAAATTACAACAAGTATTGATCGTTTCAACAAATAAGCACTAAGGTGACGATATAGGATATTAGTAAGGAAAGTCGGGATATTACCCTTTGTTGAAGTTGAAAATAAAACATAATGTACACGAATGTGCACCAATTTTCATAGGAATAGGTTAAATAAAGTCATTTTTAGTTTATTGTGGAGGCAAAAGAGTTTTTTAAACCTCTGCTTAGTCATTACTTCACACAATCATACAGTACCGAGTCACTATAAAACAACAAAAATACGAGAAAGCTATGCATACCATCATACTTCATCTATACATAAAAGAAAATTTTAACTAAATCGAATCTGTACATTAAATATTTTTTGACAATCTTATTGAAATAGTCATTATTACCGATACAGAGACGGAATCTATAGTTTTTAGAATTTTTGTCTGATTGTATGTCTGTCTGTCTGAAAGCGCATCACGGAAAACCACTGGAGGGAATTTGATGAAATTTCGTTTGATGATAGCTGGTTATCCGGATCAACATATAGGATATATTTTCTTATGGCAAAATATCTCATGTCTGAGCTAAGCGTTAAAACGTTGAGTCACTAGTAAAATATAAAAATACTTTACATACACACACACACACGCACGCACGCACGCACGCACGCACGCACGCACGCACGCACGCACGCACGCACGCACGCACACACACACACACATATTTCATCACACTGTCATTATACGACATTTTCATAGATGACTGATATATAATTACTATCTGCTGTGTTTTCTTCGCTTTTCCTATTGCCTCATAGTCAAGCAAGCCGTGAATCGAAAATATATTCAATATTTTAGATGGCACTTGAAAATTAAGGAGGGTTTTCCGTAAAAACAAATGTAAAACTGACTGTAAAAGTTTTACAACACAATTGAGTATAAACGGCGTATTATTTCAGCATTGCATCTAAGCTTTACAAAGGGAGCACCGACGATTGTATAATGCGGCTCTTAAATGACTTAAGCGGATGAATCTGTTTTACATTTTATTTATTTGTTTACATCTAAAAATTTAGACGATACGTTTGGCTCAGGTCGCGTGTTCGAGTCCCGCTGAGGGCATTCATTTGTGTGATGAACACGAATGGTTTGTACTCCAGTCATGGGTGTTTATATTTATAATATGTACGTATTTATAGTTATATATGTGTAGTGTATCAACTATCCGGTATCTATAACACAAGCCTCTTAGCTTACTATGGAACTCGATGGTGATATATTGAGCTAATGTCCCAACATATTTATTTGTTATTATAGTCGTGATAAGAATTATAGTCAGCTTACCTTAGTGGCTTACCCTTGTTTCGCTCGGGTGCTTGCATGTCTTTTGCGATTGGATACAAAAATATTAGCTTTCATCATTAATTGGTAAACGACCAGCGCCATCTATTCGCAAATTTTATTACTAACAGTAACTTGTGCTTATTCTTGAAAGAATCTATCCAGCCACTTGATGAAGTAACAAACATACACACAAACTTTCGTAATTATATTAGTAGCATGATGAACTGCATGTTGGTATGTTCATCTTGCACGCAGTAATTATATATAACGGTCGTTATGTAATGTATACAAGCTTTGTCATGCTCGTTAATAAGTAGTTCACATATAAATAAAAAAATATCTAGTAACCTGTCCTTTATATATAATATGTAAAGCTAAAATATTTGTTTGCTTGAACCATACCAGTCTAAGTTGGAAAGTTTTTTTAGCATTTTACGATCTATTTATTGAGGAAAGTTATAGACTATCTATCATTAAGCTGATTCATTTAAGGAGTAATATAAATTTATATGTTACTGTTCTAACCTAACCTCGCTTAGAAAGAAAGAAAGTGTTCTTCCCATTAGTAACCTTAAATCTACTTACCTCCTTAACTTTTTAAGACTTTTACCGATATAACAGTCAAAACTGCTATAGACCAAGGCCTGTAGTCAAAACTACTTTTGACTAAGAAATAATTTTGACTGTAACATATATATTCTACAGATCTACATACAAAGTGATATTATATAATTTGTGCTTAGTTTTATAATCTTAACTCTGCTAGAAGTAACACAATTGTTCAGAACCCGTTAAATCTGTATGAAAGAATCTAGCCCTTTACAAAAGAATATAAGTCCCAAGATTTTTCAACTGACCTCAGTCGGCATATTATCGGCACTTCACCAGAAAGCCCTTTTGAAAAAAATTGCCCAGATTATATAACGAATGGTTGGCTTTTAGGAAATAAAATGTGTTTTTATATCGTAAAATTAGTAAGTTCATATTTTTATTTATAACTAAGCGACCTGTGGTAATATTCTTTTAAAACTTTTATGTTACTCGACAATTTATGCTGAACAACATATAATATTTTAGTACTGCCTGGGTGGCTTAGTGGCTATTATGTGTGGCTGCAGATCCGGAAGTCCTAGGTTCGAGTTCCGAGTTGGGCTAAGTTTAAAATTATCAAGTTTTCCTGTTAATATCTTCTCAACAGTAGCTCGAAGTTGGGTAGTTAGTGGTGTGGTCCTGCGCTCTCACCGGTTGTTTTGAAGTTCTTCGAAAACTTTGAAAATATCTGATTAGGTATCTGTTCTAAATGAAAACCCCCGTTTAGTTATTTTTCACATTTTAGTGCCTAGAAGTCGGTTTTTATATATTTTTTTAAAGTTTTTATAACGTTTAGTTAAGATTTTTTCTCGCAGTAAAAAAGTATCCTATATGTTGACCCGGATGTCATCATACCAAATTTCATCAAAACCCCTCCCCAGTGGTTTTTCCGTGATGCGGTCATAGACAGACAAAAGTTCTACAAACTATAGACTTGGCGTCTGTATTGATAATAATGATTATTTCAATAAGATTTTCCAAAAAAAAAATTAAGTGCAGATTAGACTCAGAATATTATTATATATGCATATATAGATGTTAAGTAATTAAATTTTAGACTTAGAGTATTATTATATGCATCTATAGCTTTAATTACTATGAATTTAAAATTTATGTCATATGTAATTGTTTTTAATAATAATTATTAAGAAATATTCATCACTAGCAGAACCCGCGGCTTCGCTTGCGTTAAACTATAAAAACAAACTCTAAAAAGGTAAGTTTCATACAAAATTTCATCCCCTATTTTACCCCCTTATGGGATGAATTTCGAAAAATTCTAAAACACTTATTTTTTTAATTGTATTGAAGAGCATTATTAACAAATTTCTAGTAATACTGATAATAAATATTTTTTCGGGTTGTATTATAACCTGTTTTCTCATGGGAATGAGATGACCTTGCGCGATATGAAGTAGCCTATGTCACTCTCCAGCTCTCAATCTTCACACCAAAAATAAAAGAAAGTCAAACAAACATACAAACAAACAAACTCACTTTCACATTTATAATATTAGTATGGATATAGATAATATGGATGTCCTTTTTAACAACTGATATGCAAAATGTGATATTTTTTAGTTTTTTAAATAGTTCAACTTTTATTATAAATGTTATTTCAATCTTCATCCCAAGTGAACAAAAATATTAGAAGACGAAGAAGGAAGAAAAGCACTTCACCGATATTAGAATTAGTACGCTTTGTCGTCACCGGTCGTGAGTTCACAAAACGAACTGATTCTTTAGTCGGTGGCTGCTTCTATCGACTGTGGGATTGCGAAGAGGATGTCAAATTAATGAATAAAAATATTTTATAATTTTATGTACTTACCTCTTTACAGCTTTCATATCTTACACTTCTTACTACGTAAATACTTTCATGAATTTACGCGAATATTTTAAATAAACTATCTTTTCGGATTTTTTTCTTAGATTTATTTTGATGATTTTTGACCTCCTCCTTACCTCTGTAAGTGTGGTGATCCCGCGACCATGATTGCTATAAACCATTCGAAACTTCGGAAATCAAAAAATCTGAAAAGGTAGTTTGTAAAAATGTTTTATTTATGTAAACGTGTATTTGTTTATCTTAATTTATTGCAGCAACTGAGTAATGGATCGACGTGAGCTTTCTCATAGAGAGTTATTGGCCGGAGAGAAAAATAAACTAATAAACTACCGTGTCGAGCTTTTTCTTACATAACCATTAAGCATATTGCAAAAACTAACTCAATCGTGAGTCATAGGTTATTTGTATAAAATTATAATATAAATAATTATAATTATCATGAAGTAGGATTTTAGATAGGTTGCAGTTGTATCAAAATTTCCCTTGAAATCCCATGCCCACTTGGAAAAATAAATATATTATTTTAGATGTTGTTTTAAGAATTCATTAAGACAAGATTGCTTAATTTTTTTAAACTATAAACTAAATATTTTTATATACATAATACTCGAGAGAAGATCTTATATATATATATATATATATATATATATATATATATATATATATATATATATATATTAAAAGACCTAAAGTAGGTATTGGTATTGAGGATTACGACAAATGGTTGGAGCTGATAAAATATAATATACGTACAGGTGTAACGTAAATAAGACCAACTGCAAAGCCGACCGTGCAAGAAAACCCTGATATGAAGATCGTTCTCACATGAGGGAACGCATCAAGAAGTATAGTGTTGACGGCACGTTTGGCTCAGTTTGTAGTGACCCTACTTGCTGTACCAGCGGTCGCGGGTTCGAATCCCGCTGGGGGCATTCATTTGTGTGATGAGCACGAATGTTTATATTCCAGTCATGGGTGTTTATATTTATAATATGTATGTATTTAAAGTGTATCAACTATCCAATATCTATAACACAAGTCTCGTAGCTTACCATGGAACTAGACGGTGCTGTGTGTTAATGTCCCAACATATTTAATGTCCCAACATATATATTATGTTATAATTACAACAATAAGATTAAGATTGTATGATACTTGAATTCAAGAAATATTTTTTTTTACTTTTTTTATTTACTTATTAAAAGACACCTCAAGCTTAATTGAGGTGTAGGTATATGTTTTTGTATATAGGTATGTATGGTATTTATCATCTATTCTAAGCTGATTTTCATGATTTATTTAAGAATGGGTATAAAAAGTACCTCAAGGATGATCGTATTCCATCTACAGCGGAGGCTATAATAATGTACATTATTAAAATAACGTAGGTAGATTTTTTTGGAACTCTTAAAGGTTAGGCTTTTGAAAAGGTTGGTAAATTTTAGGTACGTTAGAATATTTTTAGATATCTAATTTTAAAATAAATAAGCAGCCGAGTGAAACAAAGGAAAGGAAAAGTTAAATGTGTTACATATTAAATAGATTCTAGCGTTTTCCCGGGCTTCGCACGTGTAGTCCAATTTTGTACTACAATATCCTTATAAATTATAGCCTATGTGTTACTCTAAGGTATAAGCTATATTTCTGTAAAGTTTCATTAAAATCATTTCAGTAGTTTTGCGTGAAAGAATAATACATATGTACAACCTAACAAACTCTCGCCTTTATAATATTACATAGTAGGATTTTAAGAAGCAAAATTATAAGTTTTACAATTTAAAAAAATACATAATATATATATATATATATATATATATATATATATATATATATATATATATATATATATATATATATATATATATATATATATATATATATCAACTACATACATATTATGTATTTTTTTTAAATCCGCATCACTCCTAACGTATTTCAAGACGTTCTTGGGCAGTATGGTAAACTATGGCCTGATCCCCCCTCGTAGGGAAGGGAGGCCCGTGCTCAGCAGTAAGACGCAAAGAGAAGAAATATCAATAGGTTTAGGTGTAGATACATTCTATGCCCTAAATATAAATTAATTAAATAACTTGTAAAAAACAGCAAAAAATAACTATTTTTGTTTTTAATTTTTGTCATGAACGGAACTTGAACCCGCCACCGTAGAGAGAAATTATTCATGACCAATTGAGTGTTATTTATTGGAAAATATTATTTAGATTTGACTTTATTTTTTAGAAACAAACTATAGATCTACGTGACCGTCACAATGACGTATACCTGAATATTTAATAGAGATGGCGTACAATGTATCGATATTTCATAATTTAATAAAAAAAAATATAGCAATGAAACCAAAATAATAAAATAACAAAAATGGATTCTTCACTAAAAATGCAATTAGTATTTGAATCTCCTTACTAATTTTCTCCCGCTTATTTTTATTTACTTCGTACTAGGTGGAGGCTAAAAATGAAATATTTCTCACGGGTTTTTATAACAAAAGTATAAGCATATTTGTAACTACTCATATAAATAAATTTACTTTTTAGAAAAAAATTATGTTACGTGTATATAGAATACACTATTACTTTCTCCACAAAGTATAGATGTAGTTCTTAGTCTCAAACGTATGTAACTATTCATATTATGATTATTAATTTGTTTTATATAAATAATATAATGCCGTTAAAGTTTTTTATAATTTAACGGCATTTAAATATAATTTAAAAGTATCGATATATTGAGTTTCCATCCTTTTTTCTAAATTAAGCAATAATTTTCTTCCACCTGCATCTCATCGGATGAGCGAAATGAGCAAAATAAAGTAGACGCCGTCGTTTTCCTAATGGAAGCGTTTAAGTGTAATATTTTGGCTTTATTATAGATACAAAGTAGAAACGTCGAATTAGTATATAAGAGTATATAGTAAAATATTTAATCTTACTACTTTTGACATAATTTAAATATTTTTAGATAAAAATCTTCTCTTTTTAGGATTCCGTACCCGAAGGGTGCCAACGGAACCCTATTACTAATACTAAGCCTCCGTTGTCCGTCCGTCCGCCTGTCTGTCTGAAAGAACCGTAATAAATAGAGTAAAAATTTTCACATAGTGTGTATTTCTATTGTCGCTATGACAATAATTAATAAAAAACCACGATGGCGAATTTCAAAAAGGCTGCCAAGCTACTTGAAAAAAAGATGAACTCTTTGTGTGTGAATCCAACTCGCACTGTGACCGATTTTTATATCAAAACAAACTTTATTACATATAATTTTATATATTAACAATCTGCACTAAAATAATAAACTTAAGAGATATATTAGTTTATTTCTTTTTCATGCAATGTATTTTGTACTATTTTTGCATAGATATGTTTTTGGGGCTCTATGGTGTCAAAGGGTCTGGGTCATATAATCCCTTCATACATAGCAAACAATATACTAAGATTGCTAATTAAATAAGAAGTTACGGAGCATTTTATTATAATAAATTTAAAAAAAAGGAGAAAGAGAAAAAAGTAAAAAAAATGTCAAATATTCGCGTAAATCTAAGAAAGTATTATTAGAAAAAAGTAGAAAAATTTAAAGCGTAATTAATAAAAAAAAATTAATAAAAAAATTAAAATAAATAAAGTGTCTTAACACACAATATTATTAGAAAAATTGTATTTGCTAGAAGATCGACCAATATACTTTGTAAGCTTTTTAAACGGTAAGCCTCAGCTGGAATTGCTCTTTATAAAACCACAAAGATTTTCACTGCTGCCTCTTAAAGTACTTGGTTAGGCAAATACAAGTACGGTCAGAAAATACATATATTTAAGCCTTTATATAAAGCGTGCTAACATAAAGTTTTATGAATATGCAATTTTAATTCAAAAATACGGTTAAAAATGTTTAATGATGTACATTTTATATTAACGTTTAAAAGTAAATGGAACTTTAAATATCATTCTGAGATAGAAGGGCTGTGTAATTAAAAAAATATATAATTATACATATATACATGCTTTGACGATATAAAGCTTTTTTAATATTTGAACATGGTAAGTTTTAAATTAATAGCTTTTTAACCCACTTCCAAAAAAGAGGAGGTTATCAATTCGTCGGAATCTTTTTTTTATGTATGTTCACCGATTACTCGAAGACTCCTGAACCGATTTGGAAATTGTTTTTTTGTTTCAAAGGGTTACTTCTCAGGTAGTCCCATATAAATTTTATCAAAATCGGTCCAGGGGTTTTAAAAAAAATCAACAATAAATACATTTTTTAAATAAATTGTTTAATCGAACATGTTATTAAAAAACTTTCTTCTTACAATTTACCTGCTTATTACGTATACACTAAAAATGGAAAAATAAAAACTTTTTAAAAAAGTTTTTTTTTCCTCCACTTCCTTTCGGTTACTTACCTTTTGGTTTTTAAGGAATCAGGACAACAAAAAAACTGGAAATTCAAAGTACTCTTTTTCGAACAAAAACTTATCTCTGTACAAAGTAAATACAACTAGACGTATTTTCATATTTAAAATATTAGTAAAAAAATTTGGAAGTGATACAAAAATATTTCTACAATTTTTTATAGTCTAAAAAGTCATTTTGAGTTAATACTAGTAATGAATATTGACAACCTCGAAACTTCAGTAACAAAGGTAATGGAAGTATAAAGCTTCAATCTGTAAATGGAAATTGACAAAATGAAAGCTCAACATTAATTCGTGTCCAAAGCTGCATAATTATGTAAGCTTTTGTCGACTTCAGCGTTGTCAAACCGTGCATTTCCCATTTTTGAACTAACATTTTAGTTTGTGTTTTGTTAAGAATGCAATATGGAATATCCATATTATTAATATTATAAATGTGAAAGTTTGTATGGATGTTTGTTACTCTTTCAAACCAGAACAGCTGAACGGATCTGGATGAAATTTGGCACAGAGATATGTAGATTATAGTCTGGCATAACACATAGGTTACTTTTTATCCCGGAGAAATCTACGGTTCCCGAGGGATAGATTTGTCATTGTTTTTAATTTGCTTTTTTTAAATTACTTTTTAATTTAATTTTCTTTGCTTGTAATTCCTATAAAATAATAATTTATACATTGAAAAAGAAAGAAGGGATGAGAAGAAGGAATTTCAAATATATTTGTTATATTATAGAAAAGATTAAAAAGAATACTGCTTTCTAATTCGTTACTTAATTGATTCCTTAAAAAATATTTTAGTCTAAAAATGCGCTGTGACAGCTAGATAAAGCAATAATTAGCAGTTCAAAATTAGGTCTATTCGTATGCAAAAAGCATTCAGCGGCATCCGCTAACAGAATTTGCGTATACTCGTAAAGTCTACATAATATTATCATCCGGGAATCTTTCTTCCATATGTATGGAACATGGTTTTACCATAAATAGATAACAAACAATCACTTTTTTGTATTTATTTTATTAGTAACTAGCAACGTCTCCTCACTTTGCTTGGCCCTATCTGTCTTTTGCATTTATAACAATAAGTCATTTTTCGGCAATTTCTGTTACTATCAGCAGCTTATTTGTTTCTCTAGACTATAGTTCATGTGTGCTCTAAATTTCATCCAAAACCGTCAAACCATTTTAGTCTGAAGGAGGAACAAAGGTACACACAGGTACTTAAAAACTTTCACATTTATAAAAATAGTGCTATTACATAACCTCAGTAACCTCCCACATCAACCCCAAATGAATTAATGCATAAAAATATGCAAATGGAAATGTTAAGTCTCTAAGAGAGGGAGGATCGATGTAAAATTTTCCAATTATCCCTTTTCATACCTTGACATCTTCTGTAATTTATTTTAAACATGTTTGTGGCCCTTGAACTAAAGATTCTACTTAATGTTGTAATGCAGTTTTTTCATCAGATTTGGCCTTTTTTGAAAAAACGTATTGAGATTGTGGTGAAGTGTACAATAGTTTATTTGATATTCAGAGATGAGAGAAGATGAACTTATTGTACTAAAAAGAGGTCAGGTCGAAAATCCAAAAATCTACTGCATAAGCTATTATAGTGCATAAGTGTGCAAGTGTGTGTGCAAGCACAAGTACACGCTCAATAACGAGACGTTTGGTTCAGTTTATACTTTTAAGTTTTTTGCCCGGAACCCTAATTCATTTTCCAAAATAAAAGTAGCTTAAGTTACTCCTTGTAACATAAGCTATCTGCTAATGAGCCCCGGTTAAATCAATCCAGCCGTTTCTGAGATTAGTCCGAACAGACAGACAGATATTTTTTTTAAATTGATTTTTCTTATAAGGTTGTTATATTGACATAACAAACAGACACTTTAACTTTTATTTATTTCTATAGTTCTTTATTTTACCGATCATAAAATATTCTGATTAACTTAGAAACTTAGAAATTCAATTACAAAATATTAATTGATTTGGAAAATTGAAAAATCTACCAACAACAATATAAAAGGTTTATATTTTTTATTTTTACATCAGAAAGATTGGAGTGAAATGAAAAAGAAATGGTGGTTTGCTAATAATGAAATAATTCGTTTTTTACCAACAAGGCTTTAATATTAATTGTTAACCTTTAGGTATATTCATCACAGATATTTGCCAAAAAAGGGGCCTTGGCAGACAGACACACAGACGGACGGACGGACAGACAGACAACGAAGTGATCCTATAAGGGCTCCTGTTTAGTTTTGAGGTACGGAACCCCAAAATAATCATGAATAATCAAATTAATTCGCAAATATGCGGACATAAAAAACGCGTTCATACGTTTTGAAATAAATTCAAAAGTACATATTATAAAGTCCATAGTTGTATCGATGTCCGTACAATCGTCATACTATTCTTCATATATCATGAACGTAAAACTTTATGAGATTTTTTTCTCTTGCACACAAAAACTACTGAACGGATTTTGATGAAACTTGACAGAGTAATCCAAACGTAATAGTTTAAAATGACATAGTAATGAATATATGAACTACACGGGCGGAGCCGCTTGAAATCGCAAATATTAAATAATCTAATCATAACATAATAGCTTATTTTTTAATGATTTATACAATATATACTTTATTTAATCTATTTGATATTAAATAAAATGCTATTTCCATTCTCCGTATGTAGAACAGAAACACAGGCTTACATCAAAACAAAATATACTTTATTCAAATAAAAATACGATTTATAATTGCTTACCAAGCAATAATGATTTATTATATACAATAAATAATAATGATTGTTACATACAATAATGAATGACTGATATAGGCTACATATTTCGTGGAAAAACTAAATAAAAATTCATTTTTTTAGCATATATGTATACGAGTAATCAAAGTGCGGACAAACACACAAACATCTGTATTTTCGGGTGTAACAGCACTTTATTGTTGTATTTATATGTTGCAAAGAACTTAAGTATATCAAAAATTTGTATGAGTTCATACAAATCTTCCAAAACGTATTACAAGCAAGAAAAGCAAGCAGCAAAATCTATTGCGTTATTGTTTTGGTGCATAATTTTCAGTGCCACAGCCTGTTTTAGGTATTCTTTAAATATGACGCATATAAAGATTAGTTGTACTAATCGCATTTGTTTCATATTAGCCGGTAAGTAAAAATATTTGTATGTTAATTGTAGTAATATATGTTAATAATATATGAAGTAAACTTAAAAAATAAAAATAATATATTTTCTAATATTATAAAGAGGTAAAGTTTGTATGTTTGTGAGTTTGTTTGTAGGAAGTAATCTCTGAAACTAGTGAACCGATTTAGATGAAATTTGGTAAGAAGGACACATAGGATAGTTTTATCCCGGAAATCATTATTTAGGGGGTGAAAATGGGTAAAGCTACTAAACAAAAAAAAATAGAAAATTGCTTAATAAACAGTGGACCTATTTATATGTATATAGAAAAAATAAAAGTTTGTTTGTTTGGTTGGTTGGTTAGTTATTTGTTTGTTTGTTTGTTTGAAAGCGGTAATCTCAGGAACTACTAATCCGATTTGAAAAATTCTTTTTACATTAGATAGACCGTTTATTGAGGAAGGCTATAGACTATATATCATCATGCTTCTACCCAAGAGAGCGTAATCATAAATGTCAACAAATCGGGCAGACTTCTATACATTACTGTAAAACTAATGTTTATAATCAAACAATAATGCGGATGGAACCGCGGGGCACAGCATACATAATTACCTATATAATGTTATAATTTATATTTTTCTAATTTCTCCTTCTAGCTATCCTAACAAGCTCTACATACTCTACAGAGAACAAAAATTTTAGAAGACAAAGTATACCAAACCCCGTGGATCCCGACGGGAATCCACTCACTATTCCTCCACCCTTTCCTCCTCCAGGCGGCGCCCCAGATAAAGGTGGCGGTGGAGCCGGTGAAAAAAACAGGCAAATAATAAAAATAATTCATTAAGAACACTACACGTTAAAAGACCTGACTTTTAGGTTGTAAACACACGCAAGCGCATATACGTATGTATTTACATACAATGAATGACATGAACTTATTTACATACGAACTTACGTTCATACGCAACCAAATGTTATTCATTCACTCAAATGCACCACGGTTAATATCATTAATCAGGAGAGCCAATCTAGTAAATGTTACACGAGGGAAATACCAAAAATATAAATAAATCATAATACGTTCTTAGATTTACGCGAATATTTGACATTTTAAATAAAATTATCTTTTCGGATTTATTTTGATTTTTGGTTCCATAAAATAAATCCGCGAAATAATCCGAAAAGATAGTTTTATTTAAATAAATAAATCAATTAATATGTTGGGACATTAAAACACAGCACCATCTAGTTCCATGGTAAATACTATTCCAGACTATAATCTATCCCTGTGCCAAATTTCATCCAGATCTGTTCTGGCATTTTTGTTTTTCTTTGGCCGTTCTGGCATAATTGAGTAACAAATATCCAAACATCGATCTAAACTTTTACATTTATAATATTAGTAAAATTAACCGGTTTATTTTAGTATCAAAAGCGAAATTCAACCTTTCTCTAAGAATATTTTTTTTTAACGTTGGGAAATGCATTTACGCATGACGTGTGGGACTCACCGGCGTAATACAGCCAGTACTACCCACTAAAACCCAACAAAACCTTCCCCCGTCTTAATGGGGCGTCGCAGGATCGCTTACGCATTCAACTACGACGCCCCGACGGCAGGTCTGCCGAAGCAGACCACCACAACCATGGGGTTGCTCCACAGTCCACTCTGCTATCAGAGAAGTACCAGGAGCAACCCGCATGGTACACCGCCCCCCAAAGAGGGCCACCTTCCACCGCCCACCGAAGTGGGCAACCTCCCTGTGCGTTTCTTAGCTTCGCGCCCGGTTGGGTTGCCGGGCACTACTGAGCCCCCCCACCACGACAAGGTGAACGCACGTTGGGGGGGTCTCTAAGAATATCCGTTAACCATTATTATTTCGGTTTACTAACCATTCGTTTCCATTAACCGGTGAGTAATGAATTAACCATTAAATTACCGAAATAAGCCATTTCTAACCGGTTCTGAGACCTGGTCATAGGCTAGCATGGCAGCAGTAAATATAAAAAAAATAATTTTATATTTATTGCTGTATTTCTATTCGTATAGATTTACTACACCAAGTACAACACAGAGACGTTTTGCCCGAACTACGCCAATGCGAATTTCATTCGAGGAAAATTGTGATTACTTAGCCTTCTACTGCCTGAAAGCTTATAAGTAAGTATTTATACTATATTTATAATTGCAGTTAATTGATATTATATTCTAGTTTTACAGTTCAAAATATATACTTAAATACTTAACTAAATAATAAAACTATTAAAAATAATATACACTTCATAATTACTATAATATATGTCATGTCTGCGAAATTGTGGCAAGTAATATTTGATTAACTGACAAATTTTTTTTTACTGTGCGATAGGCTTGCCCTTGACTACAATCAATGCAGGGAGGCACTGATGAGGTCTAGGTTGGCGCGCGCTTGCCTAAAATAGCAATTGCCTTAATATTAGTACAAATAGAAAATGAGACACCTAATATCAATAGTCTCCCGATTAAAATATCTGTGACATACAGACAGATATACGGACATGATATGATATTATTGCTGCTATCCCGTTTTTGCCTTTTGGCTACGGAACCCCAAATTGATCAAATTAACAAATATCAGAATATTCCTATTTTGGAATTTAAAAGATTAGAGCATACTTCTTTCAATAAATGTTTACTATATATTACAGCACGGGAAAGCTTTGTGGAAGGACAGTGTATTATACATATCACACGTTTAAGAACTACTGTCTCTTAGACTACGTAAACTGTATGGAAAGATATGAAGGTAATAATGAAAAATCCATATCCACACTTAATATTATAAATGGGAATGTGTGTTTGTTTGTCCTTCTTTCACGTCAAAACAGAGGGACGGATTAGCGTGATTTTTGTGTAGAGATAGTTAGAGGGCTGGAAATAGACATAAGTTACTTTTTACCGTGGGAGATTATCTTATTCCCACGGGGAAACATGTTATAATAAAACCCACAATAACTCATCATACCTATGTTTAAGTATTATCTACATATATAATATAACATAATATAAAATATAGTCTACTATTGCATACTAACCATTAATAATAATCTTATAAAATAGCTCATGCGACAATGCTTATAAGTTGACCCAAATTGATGTTTGTTTCTTGTCTACAGATATTACATATTATAATTATTATACAGAGTCATTTTTAATTATTGAAAACCTTTTGGGAATATACTATTTACAACATAACAACAACATCTGTAAGAAAAAATCTTATCTTAAATTTTACAAAAATAAAAATATTTTTATTGCACCTTCTAAACGGTAACAGTCCAGCATTGGCAAAAGAAAGCGCGTGACCGCGTGAAGGGGTGTAGTAGATGGTGCTTACTCATTTAAACTCGACCAGATGCCATTTAAAAGGTGCAATAAAAAAAAATCATTTTTGTATTGAAATTAAAATTTAAGAAATGCTATGATGTAAATAGTATATTCCTTCTAGGTTTCCTAATCAACTTATTTTTCTATCCATCAAAATCTATTCAAACAATAGCAGTAACGGAATTTATGTTTAGAACTAGTTTAGTAGTTTCACAGAATAACCGTAGCATGCAAAAGAAAAACAGCAAATTAATTACATAAGGTATGGTAATATGTCTGGGAAAACGCGTGTTTTCGAGTTTTCATGCGGTTTTCTTTCGCAATATTCGCATTTCGCTTCGTGGTCAAGCGGCCAAGGCGCAAGATTAACAATCATAGGTATCGGGTAGGTATAGGGTTCGAATCCTGGGTCGGATACAAAGTTTTTACTTTTGTTTTTTTTTGTATTTATTCAAGCTTTTAGTTCTTTTTAAATTGTACTTTTGGCCAAAAACACCGACCAAAGCTCTATTGTCCAGGTACTGATATTAATCAAAGATGCTTTTAAATTCTCAGTATGGCAAGTAGTTCACATGGGGGAATGCTTCAACGTTACTGTTCTGACGGAGTATTTACGTAAGTATATTATAATTATATTTAAAAAACATAAAGGCATTTAGGCAAGTTTTAGTATTTTAACTAAAACTATCTTTTAGGATTTTTACGCGAATTTATTTTGATTCCCAACATTTTATACAGTATCTATAACACACACACAGTTTCGATACAAAAATTAGAAGTCGACTTTAAAGATGAGAGAATAGGTTTATATAAGGATTTTTATTTGATTATTTTTATAGTTTTGTTACAACAGAAGTTAATAAAAGAAAGAAAGAAAATGAATCTATTGATTATGATTACAAATGGTGTAGGCTTACCCATAAAGTAACTTAACGCTACACTTTCGAAAACCAAGAAATTTGTATATTTTAGGCCCTTCTCCCATTACGAAACACGTAGGATATAATACTCAAGTCGCATACAAGCTGAGTACTTGTTGGCAACTCTACATTCGTACATTACGCTACTGAAAAATAACAAAATGCATAATTTTTTTTATGAACGGACGAAGTTTTTCGAGAAGCGTAGGAGACGAGACGCGCTGACGACCAGCACGGCGGCGGGCGGGTCGCGGACGCGGACTATACCGGTAGCGTAGTATGCGAACACCGATCCTCGGCGATTAGTCGCCGGGACTTCCGATATATGTACTAGAGTCGCCTGGCCGTATCGTAATGGGAGAAGGATTATTGTCACAGGATTTTAACAAATTAGTTATAATTTAATTTGTCAAATACAACTGGAATGCCTTGTTTATTTACTGGTCATTCTATTATATATAACGTGTCTTCCCCATTTCTACGAGACATCGGCGAAGTAAATTGTGCTCAAACGGCACTCCTAGCAGCCACTAAACAAAAGAATTGAATTCAATTAATTTGTCATAACCTTGTCATGATTAAATCAAAAATTGATTAGAAACATAATTATAACGATCTTATTTTACCGACCAATCTCTCTTGTGTCTTCTCCATTCTACGTGACATTACTGAAGTAATCTGTGTTCAACTGGCACGCTTTACGGCCATTAACAAGAAAATTGAATTGAATTGAATTGAATTGAAACATAATTATTTAGGATTTAAAAAAATGTCAATATTGTTATAATTTTCAGTGTATCCCTACGATGATGACTATTTTTTGGACCACTATTATGTTATGGAAGACCATTGAAGAAGTTTGAATTGACTTTTATAAATAAAATATTTACTTATAAATATTTATTTTAATTCAACCTTTATAAGTCCTCGGCTTCCCGTTCTTTTTTAAAACTATTTCAAATAGTAATACTAGTTTTCGCCTGCGGCTTTGCTCGCGTGATAAGTGGAGCGGGGATAAAAAGTATCTTATGTCCCAGGACTATATTCTTACAAAATTTTATCAAAATCTGTTCAGGGGTTTCAGCGTAAAAATGTAACAGACAGATTTACTTTCACATTTATAATATTAGTATAGGTCGATATAACTATAGTTCCTTAACTTACAAATACTACTGGAAGTATATAAGTATATTTTTTACTAGTAAAGAAATTCAAAGCACTGCACTAAAAAAATAAACTTAAAATAAACAGTTTTAATTAAGAAAAGACTTTATAAGCTAGATTCTCTTCGCCCTGTCGGTCGCACATTGTTAAGCGTTCATACTTTAAAGGACGTTTATTCTTCACTTTTATTTTAAAATCTCGACTTACGTATTACTGCCACTGGTATTATTTTATTTTTAAAGAAAATATGCTCAGCACAAAATTTTGTTCCTAAAGCTTATGTATGCAAAATTGCCTCGGTGGTGTAGTGGCTAGCATGTACGGCTGCACACCCGGAGGCCCTGGGTTCGAGTCCCGGGTTGGGTCAAGTTTAGTTATTGAGTCTTTCTG